AGCACACCCTAGACCGTGATGCTGAATCTATGGCATGCGCGCCAGAGATGCCACGCAGCACCCTTTCTGATGGCACACAAGTCTTCGCCCCAGTTCAGCTCCGTCGCAAATGTACACACACCTCCCAGCAGTGAGCTGGTCTTCAGGTCTCTGCCTTGCATGCATAGGGTGTGGTGTGTGGGTGTGTGCGTGCATTGGGGAGTGGGGGGCATGCACGGGGTGGGGCTCATGCACAGTGGGCTGCACATGAACATTTTGGGGGTTTCGGACACATGCCCGCTTTGGGCACTTGGGTGGGGAAAAATTTAGCCATCCCTGCCCATGGAGGTTAAACAAAGCGGCTTCTTGGCCCGATTTCCCCTTTTAATGTTGTTTTTAGGAGCCTGATACCGAGAAGCAGCAACCCCAGTGAACTCCGCCATCTCCAGCTGTGGCTGCTCTGCCTGCCAAAAAAACCTTGTTTTCTCTCTCCTCTCCCCTCTCCTCCCCCACCCCGCCCCACAAGTGCAACACAGCCAGCACATAACTCACTCCGCCACCTGACCCCAAAGGCGTGGAGTTGACTTCATGTCTTCTCCCCGAACGGTTCCAACCCAGAGGTTCCTCCCACCTACAACTTCACGCATAAGCGGGTAAAATCTGCCTTTTCTCGATCAACAATGCCTTTTTTTTGGTGTGTTTCGCTTTGGCGTGTTTACGCCTCTACACCAAATGTGGTTTCGTTCTCAGATGGATCAGGTCTGAGGAGCGTTGAGAACAAATCCATAATCATCTCCTCCAAGCTGTGTCAACAACACCTCCCACCCTCCCTTGGACAGACCCCCATTTAGTAGCCTCTTTGGGATCATTCCTTTATCTGCATTTCAATTTCTCCCTCCCTTTATCTGAGGCAGGATAAACAGACTTTCTCCAACTAACGAAAGCCACGCTTCCTTGGATAAACGGCCTAATGAATATATAGAACATGCGTTCTGTTCTTACAAGCCCACGTTACTTCAAAATGTAATCTGTAACTTATATATGCACTTACATATATTTGCATTCCTCACACCTTACCGCTACGTATTTCCATCCGTACATGTCCCGTAGTATTATGGGTTCCTTCTATATAATTTTATTACCGTACTCCATGGGGTCTGTAATGTAAAAGGTAAAAGGTTCCCCTTGCACATATGGGCTAGTCGTTCCTGACTCTAGGGGGCAGTGCTCATCTCCGTTTCTAAGCCGAACAGCCAGCGCTGTCCGAAGACGTCTCCGTGGTCATGTGGCCGGCATGACTCACCACCAAAGGCACACGGAACACTGTTCCCTTCCCACCAAAGGTGGCTCCTATTTTTCTACTTGCATTTTTTACGTGCTTTCGAACTGCTAGGTTGGCAGAAGCTGGGGCAAGTCACGGGAGCTCCCTCCGTTAAGCGGTGCTAGGGATTCGAACCATCAAACTGCCGACCTTTCAGATCGACAACCTCGCCATCTTAGCCACTGAGCCACCGTGTCACATCCCCCGTATTGGAGTTTACAAATCATCTTAGTCGGTTTGATGCAACCTATTCAGGGGCTGCGTGATTCAGGATCTTCCCCGAAATTTATCTTGGCCAGAAATCTGAGGTTTCCTTCATCTCTACGTCGTTTGGTTTTGCATTTGCATGAAAAAAAAAATTTCTGTTGGATTTCCAGGTTTTGCCATGACAGGGCAAAGGGCCTTCAGGTAAATTCAGCCTTGTGGATGCTGCGAGCGGGAAGGAGCTTTGCGTAGAGCATCCGCCCGTTTCCTGTTCGTATTTTGATAACCAGAGTTCAAAGGTGAAAGTGT